TATATATATATATATATATATATATATATATATATATATATATATATATATATATATATATATATATATATATATATATATATATATATATATATATATATATATATATATATATATATCAACTTTGAAAATCATAATTAAAGCAAAATAGCATTCGGCTCGCATCGTAGAATCATGTTGTACAACGACATAAGCTTCGTCGCGACAACTGATGAAATACTGGCCGCAAATGCCTTGCGTGCACAAACCTCGTACGATGCTTGCTTAGGTTGCGATTCAATTAGGTGCAAACGAGGTGCAACAAAGCACAAACGGAAGAGATCGTTAACTTCACAATTGAAAGACAATTTTGTTAAACAAATGAATAAGATGGACACAAAGTCACCCAAAACGTTACTATGGAAGAAAACGCGTTGAACACAGCCCACTCCGCGAAAAACGGACTCAATGATTTATATCCGAAAGCACTTCCTAATAGCAAGTATATGCCAGCTATTACATCCTCATTCCAGACAGGGACGGCAAATTGGTGGCTGCGACGTTCGATTTTTTTCTTCATTAATCAGGCATCGAACCAGGGACTTCACTGCGGAAGCTGCCGACGCTAGAACCGATTCCACGTGCATCCGTGATTTTTTTCCGGAGGATCGTCATCCATGAGCAAGGGAATTTTCTGATGCAGGCGTTTATTGAAATCAACTTGGAAGAGACAAGTTTCCAAATGTAGTGGGTTGAAAGAGACAAGTTTGTAAATTAAGGGACTTTATGTTCTGGTAAGTTGCATCATAAATGCACATAAAATATCAAATATGTCAAACACGAATGTTTTACTGAACAATATAGTCGACATCTGGATATAATCAAGTTTACAAGTTCTTATGAACCGCTTTTGGTATGCCAGCGTCCACTATTCGGTATTAGAGAGCCTATGTGGAAAAACCTGCAACTTGGGCTGTTTGCACCCTCATACAACAAAAACACACAATTGCCTGGTTGCACATTTGGAGTTGGAAGTATGATACGCTAAGGTAATGCACAACACACCCTTTGGACTTCTTAGTTACGTAACGACTACTAGTAGGAGCATAGGCTATTCATTCTCATTCTGAAATTTCCTATACGTAAGACAAGTTATTTTTACTATCAAACGATAGTATCGCATCATCGTATTTACATATCACATATGTCACTACACAAATGTCACTACACTTAACACTGTGATGTGTTTCAATGACGTCATCAAGTGTGCCAAGTATTTGGTTCGTATTGGCCAATTTGAACAAATAAAATTAAATCAATCAAGCGTACTTCGGTTGATGATTCGTGGGAGTGGGACCGAGGCATACATAGCTCACACATAAAAATGTAGATTCAATCACAACGCAGTCTCGTGTTCCAGTTCCATTAAGGAGTAAGGACCTGAGTCCTGAGTCCTGTCCTCTGACTCCTCTCACTCTGGCCTCTGGCGGGAGGACCTGAGGGCTGAGGGCTGAGCTGTGAGTCAGACTGGGGCAGTGCCACAGTGGGGCCCCTGGGGCTGGGGCCTGGGGGAAGGCCCGGGAGGGTGCTGATTGCTGAGGCCTGACTCACTTGAGGGCTGATGCTTCAGGCCTGAGGGCTGAGCCCCTGAGGGCCGAGGCTCTGTAATATATGAGTATTTAAAGTATTTTATGTATTCATTTACGCAATTTATGATCCTGATGTCATATTTTGTGAATACATACTGTCAACTGTAGTGTACACTGTACTCTGTACAATTTACATGATGTACTGTAATTGACAAATAGTAATAGAATACACTGAAGTGACTGTCAGCCGCCCAGTGTCCACAATGACCAGTGTCCACAATGACCAGTGTCCACAATGACCAGTGTCCACAACATAAAAATATTAACAAAGATTAACGTGTATGTAGGAGATCTCTCTGCATTTTTTAATAAATAGATTGCACTGTTTTCGGACTTCAGTTGGCGACTTGGCGAGTTAACACGTTACTGACGACTGACGTTTGGATATAGATTTTTATGATTTTCTCTATTATTTGTCTATTTTAGAAGACTATGTATTTGAGCTTTGAATATATCACTTAATTCCTTTTGAATTATTCACTGGTTGTGTTGAATATTTAGGAGTTACAGGACTTGACGGGTCATCTGACAGTTGACAGTTGACACTCGAGAATATATTTATATTTCTGTATTGTTTGGAAACAAAATTGCGCCACTGCATTTGCCGGGGGTGCAAATATAGATTTTGGGGTGCACGTATAGAGTTCAAGTATTTCGTTCACTCACCTACGTGTAAATTAAGAAAAGTTGATGAGAATACTTTGGTAGCATCTAACTCGCCTATGCTAACTCGCCACTTCGATGGATCTCGAGATCCATCGGCGGCTCCTTCGCCATTTGATAGCAGCCAGGTATTTAACGTTCATTGATCATATGTCGACTATTAAGTAGACGACATAATTTCTAAACGGAACTTATCGGACTATATCCGGTCGGGTTCTTCAGCCTGAGCTAATTTAGAGGTAGCTGCAAGTTTCAATTATCTATATTTGTCCGCCATAACACATAGAAATCAACATACGCTTGCGATACAAGACAGTCTGAAGATTGAAATGACTAATTCACACAATGGAAAGCTCAACCCGAGATGCACTATACCAACGTGTATAATATACTGGTAAAACACTCAACGCTAAGATACCTACAACGATGCAAACGAGTTTATGTTCCCTGTTTTTTTTTTAATGTTCTATAGATATTGAAAGAATAGCGCGGTCACTGCCAGCCCGACAGTCTCACACAGTCTCACAGTCACGGCCCACTCACTGGGTCGGACTCAGTAACCAATAAGCAAAAACCTAATGCCAATCACATTCTGAGTGTCAGGTAATCTTGGGATCTTGGCATAGTTACCTGCTTATAACCAATCAGAATTCGTACAATACCTTGCTACAAGTCTCAAATATACCTATTCTATTATGGAAACAAAAAGGTATTTAGAACTCTTTTCGAACTTCGAAGTCTGTTTCTAGTTTCTACACATATTCACGCTAAAGTAATTGACAGTTAAATAAGGACACAAAAGTTAACGACACATGTTTACATGACACACTGACTTGTTGGTGTACAATAACGAAGCGGTATAATCGGCGAGACTGTCTCTATTAGCTGAGTCATTTCGCTTATGATGGCTACTACTGACAAATATAGTTTTACAAAGTCATCTAAATCTATACGCAGGCGGATAGTCACTAAGTGGTTCCGATTGTGCTTTATTGTAGGCATAGTAACGTACCTGTGTGCCAGATATATCCCAGAATATACTCAAACAGGCAGTATCACAAAAGAATCTATATCGACGAAGACTGCAAACGAGCCACTATTGTATAAGATCAATCTACTAGATAGAAAGATCAGGCATAGAAAAGGCAATGAAGTCGTACACGGCGAAGAAGGTCTCACCCAGCAGGTGCTTAAACGCGATCTCAGACAGGCACGAAAAAAATCAAAGCCAAATAAGGACATGGGGGATATCGACACGGTTTCTGTCGAGAGCGCTTTAGAGATTGGTAAGTAGGATTAGCTTGCCGCGCCTTTTTATACTGATGAATGAAACTACAGATTGTTCCTTCGCACTGTACACACTGAAATTGCACGAGAAGCACAAGATATTATATTGCAAAGTCCGATTAGTTAGTTTGCTGATGCAACAAGAGACCATAATGTTGACGAGTGAAAAGGTCGAGAGATTACATGCACTATTTGTATACCATTTTATCGAAGCATTATTTTAAAAATCGCACGAAAATATTTGATTGCAAAATCAATTGCAACGGGGAAACCAAACACCACAGCTGTGCTTATAGATCGAACATCGCAAATGTTGGTGTATTACTTTTCAAATACGACAATGTACATACTGTGAACATTC